AGGCATGTGCCACAACCGGGAATGGAACCGTAATAGGTTGACACTCAACCACTGAGCCATGCCGGCCAGGCCATGATAGTGTGGGTTTTTTTGCTTTAGTTCTGTTTGTAACTTTCTTGTTGTCAATGTGTACTCCTTGAGCCTGATGACAGGTGTTTCTTTTATTGTTAAGGAGCAGATTTATCTCCCTCCTGGTCCCTTCTGATCACAGGCAGTAATGCTTCTTCCCTGTTGACCTCCCCAAATGCTGTTTACCAAAACGTATAACACACAAGGATTCCCAAATGGCTCTCGACCAATTTAGTATTGGATTTTGTAACACTGGAAGGTAAACATTTATTTTTGCAGAAATGAGTTTCTGTTTTCCTCTCTGAGTTTGTCAGGGAGAAAAATCTTCTGTAAAATGTTTTTCTTACTGTTATTGTAATGTGGTAGAATGGGTTCATTTGTTAAGGATGACATTTCTTAGGTAAAGTGTTTTTCTTACTGTTACTGTAATGTCTTAGAATGGGTTCATTTGTTAAGTGTGACATTTGGGGATTTGTTTCCTTCCTGGGTGAGCCTGGGGCCCTGTTTTTACTTGGTTAACGTGTGGGTTCTCTCACTTTAAGGCAATTTTCAAATCTCAGCACACCAGTGCCCTCAGGCTGTCACAGTCCTGTCCACCAGGACCAGTCTTTCTGGAAGACTCTCCTGAGCTGTCTACTCATCCTTTTCTCCCACAGGGCCCAGATGCATCCCGAAGGGAATTCTTTTCCCTCACTGGTCCCATTAGGAACCTGCTATTTGCTTAAATCAATGGTCCATCTCAACTCTCATTTTCTCTAATGCATTTTGATTTTCCTGACATTGGACGTGGAATAACTCTGAGGATAAAAATGGTGTCATTTTTCAGCCACATGGCCTCTCTATACATATTTGTGAAATGAATGCACATATCCTCTTTTTGTAAACTCTACCCTTGATATGATTCTGCCTCTTTGATGCTGTTTCCAGCCCATCTGATCCTCTAGCTCAGCGGTTCTCAACCTGTGGGTCGCTACCCCGTTGGTGGTCGAACGACCCGTTCACAGGGGTCGCCTAAGACCATCCTGTATATCAGATATTTACATTACGATTCATAATAGTAGCAACATTACAGTTATGAAGTAGCAACGAAAATAACTTTATGGTTGGGTCACAACATGAGGAACTGTATTTAAAGGGCCAGAAGGTTGAGAACCACTGCTCTAGCTTGTCTTCTGCCTCCTCACTATACACGTTTCCAGAGTACAGTTCTAGTCTTCACTCTCTCCTGGAACTCTCACCCTCTTATGGGCCGACATCTCTCATCACTGTGTCCCCGATGCTCTGTGCCTTTCCTCCTCACCTCTGGACCATTCTTTCGGTTCAGCAGGCCACCCCTGCACGTCTGCAGGGCTTCACCCAGGTGAACTCAACTTGTTCTTCCACTTCTCTTTTTCCCCCTCTTTTCTAATTAAGGGCATCTTCCCAATCACGCAGACACTGGTGGTTCTATAGATCCAATTCAATGCTCATGTCTTTTGATTATGTCTGTGGTCTGGAATAGAGCACATGTTCAAACCTCTGCTTAACTCAAACACGACCTTCTCCATGAACACTGCCAACCAAAATAATTTCTCCTTCTGTGACCCCTCATAGCACTTTCCTTCCAACAGCCATTTTCCCCCTTTGACCTTTGTTCTGTTTCCCTTGTAACACTGAATATTCCAACTCTTTGAACTTGTCTCTCCTCCTGCACTACATTGTAAGCATCTTGACGGAGCACTTGTGTCAGAGTTGATTTTGAGTATGGGCAGGGGCCCAACCCAATACCTTATGGGGTGCTGAGTCACATGCAGGGGCTGGGAAAAAAAGCCTGCTCGTTGTCACTTGCTCTTGAACCCTGCTAGAGGCAGGGTGACATCTCCCACAGAATCCCATAGGTCATCACTTCAGTTGCATGTGGAACAATGTGTATCTGAAGCATGTCAGGGTGAAGCTGGTATCACCCACTTGCTCTTTTGACAAACTCGTAAATGCCTGCCCCTCCCGCTCTCTCTTCTGACGTCTCAGTCACAACCACTAAACCAATGAGGAGAACACTTGACACTTGGACATGGTGACTGTCATGGCCAAGAGCTGCCATCAGTTACTGGGCAGAGCCAAAACTCCGTCCCAGGTCGCCTGGCAGCTAAGGGTTAACAGGTGTGGGTCCCCAGGCGTGGTGTTCAGTGCACAACATTCAGAATGTTCTCTCTGAACTTATGGAGATTCCCAGGTTCCTGCCATCATGGGCGAACCCTCCCATGGGTGCTGTGCCCATGCGTGGTTCCTTGCCTCCTCCCATGGTATGTCCTTTTGTCCCCAGGACGCATGGGGGAAAAAGGAAAAACCAAACGGGTTAGGCATGGCCTTCTAACCTTGCTAGTATTATTGTTCCAAGAAATTTAACACAGAAAAAGCCAGCCAACTTGTAGTAGATGGTTTCTAGAAGCTGGGCATTCTTTGGGCCACCCCAGTCCCAGTTGCATGGTTATCCTTCTAATTCATGGTGAGTGAAGAAACAGAGGGTCCCCACAGCCTGGCTTCTCCACCAGCATCCTTATCAACTCTTGGATGAGGGCAAAGATGTCACCCACCTGGAAAACCCACAGAGGGCATGCTGTGTGCTAAGATGGTCCTATGTACTTCCAGCTCAGTGGTTCTCAAAGTGTGGTTCCCATATAAAGCATGGGTACCCCCTCGGTCCACTTAGAAACAGAAACTCTCAGGCTCCACCCTAGACCTTTGAAAATGAAGCTGTGGGGAGGGGTCAGCAATCTGTCCCAACACCTCCCGGAATGCTGATGTGCCCTCTGGTTGGAGACCACTGTTCTAATGTATAGGCCTATTTTTCCATCTTGGACACAGCTTCCTCAGGTGCCCTGGGCTGCTCTGAAATCTCTGTTCTAGTGTCCTAACCCTTCCTAGAGTGAAAATAATTACTAAGCCGGCTACTCAATGTTGAGCATGTATATGATGCCAGATGCCAGGGATAATTCTAGACACCTATGTATATTAACTTGTTTAATGCTCACCACAACTCTATGAGGTTCCCCTTCTGTAGATGAGAAAATTGAGGCACAAATTGACTGGCTGAATTGCCCAGGGTCACCCCGGTAATAAATGTTAGCACTTGGTTCTGAAACCAAGGCAGTCTGACTCCCAACCACGTGCTATGCCTCGTTAGAGGTTTCTGCCACCTCCCCATCCAGGCTCCAGTTTTTTCTCCTTTCTAAACAAATGCCTGTATTAGTCTGCTAGGACTGCCATAGCAAAGTACCACAGACTGGGTGTCCTAACAGAATTGATTTTCTCATATTTCGGGAGGCTGGAAGTCCAGCCAAGATCAAGAAACCCTGTCGGCAGGGTTTCTCCTAAAGCCTCTCTTCTTGGTTTGCAGGTAGCTGCCTGCTCACTGTGTCCTCACGTGGTCTGTCCTCTGTGTGCATGTCCCTGGTGGCTCTGTGTGTGTCCAAAATCTCCTTTTTTTGTTTTGTTTGAAATTATATATTTTTACTTTTCAATTACATTTAACATTCAATATTATATTAGTTTCAGGTGTATAGCATAGTGGTTAGACATAATTTATGAAGTGATTCCCCAGTAAGTCTAGTACCCACCTGGCATCACACATAGTTATTACAGTATTACTGATTGTATTCCCTATGCTGCTTTACATCCCCAAGATATAGTGTAACTACTAATTTGAACTTCTTAATCTCTTTATCTTTTTCAACCTTCTCTTATCTGCCAACCATCAGTTTGTTCTCTGTATCTATGAGTCCTTCTCTATTTTGTTTGTTCATTTATTTTGTTTTTCAGATTCCACATATCAGTAAAATTATATGGTAATTGTCTTTCTCTGTCTGACTTATTTTACTTAGCATAATGCCATCTAGGTCCATCCATGTTGTTGCAAATGGTAAGATTTAATATTTTTCATGGCTGAGTAGTGTTCCATTGTGTACATGTACCACATCTATATTCAATTGTCTATCAATGGATACTTCAGTTGCTTCCATATCTTGGCTATTACATATGAAATATTCTTTGTCTCTGGTGATAACCTTTGTTTTGTCTAGTGTAAGTATTGCTCTTCCAGCTTTTTTCAAAAATTCCACTTGCCTCCGACATTTGGTGATCGTTATGTACATAAAGGTATCAACCTTTAAGTCTGTGGAGTTGGGCCCATTTGGCCTGCGTTTCAACCCTTCCATTACTAGGTGTGCGACCTTGGGACAGGTTAGCATCCCTGAGACTGTCTCTTAATTTGTGAAGTGGAATTAATCTAGGTTAATAATTAATGGAATTAATCTGGCAACTTCCTAGGGTTGCTGAAAGGTTTAAATTAGGTCATAGAAATAAAGCACTTTACACTACCTGCTCGTGCAGAAGGAGATGTGCGTAATCTCTGTGAGCACTGCTTCTGCCCATGGCGGCACGTTCATTACTCGGCAAAGATTTCCTTCACATCCTAAGACCAAAGCACCAACCCTGTTAACATTGCCTCTGGTGCATGACTATGTGTCTGGACCACTTAGGGCGTTTCCTATAAACAGTGTATGTGCAGATGGAAATGCCCATCTAGCAGTTGACAAACAGGACCAGGGGACAGTGGGAGGACAGGGATGCTGGCCAGGGAAGGGCTGTGGGCCACAAAGACAATCAACCTCAGAGGACACCTGCCAGCCTGCAGCAGTGGGTTCTAAAAGCCGGGCCTCACTTCTGTCCAGGTGTACACCTCGGCTGCTGGAAGAACATTGCTGTCCTGGGCCACTGTGTCGTAGATGTCTTCTGACTCACACTGACTGGGTTGTCACAATTTTCTACTAAAATCACCAACACGCAAACTTTTCCGCAATCTCAATTTCCTGAAGGTCTGTCGGCATCGCAGTGGGTTGGACACACGTTTGAGATGACATGTCATGGACCATCTTGTGTTTTGTCATTTACAGAGGAGCTGAAGGCCCCCTTAGAGGAGTACGTCCACAAACGCTACCCGGGGCTGGTGAAGGTGGTGCGAAATCAAAAACGGGAGGGCCTGATCCGAGCGCGCATTGAGGGCTGGAAGGCGGCCACCGGCCAGGTCACTGGCTTCTTTGATGCCCACGTGGAATTCACTGCTGGCTGGTAGGTCACGCGCTGAACCCTAGGGGTACTCAGGACCTGCAGTGAGGTCAGGAGGGGTTAGAGTCTGGGAGGTGGGTGCCTGATTCCTCTGGGGCCCCTGGAAGAATGGAAAAGGGGTGGTTGGAAAAGAAGGTGAGACCATAGTCTGGGATAAAACGGAAGCAGGGAGAATTTTATCTGCTATCTTACTCAGTCCATCATTGTCATTGTCATAGGTCCCTTGTGATTCCTCGTTCTAGGCAGACACTGTGTTTCAACTTTCACTAAGTTGGCCTGTAGTAATCCTCTCCGCCTCCTGATGATGATAAAGATGTCTGTCTTGCCCATGTGGCAGGTCCGGCATGGGCTGTCTGTGGCTCTGCTCCACCTGTCCTCTGGACTCACTCCTGTCTAGGAAACACCACTTTTGTGGCTCAGAGAAAAGGATGCCGACTGAACCTTGCAATGACTATGAAAGTGTCTGCTCTGTGGTGACATTGTCACTTCTGCTCACATCCCCCTGGTTAAAGCAAGTCACATGTCCAAGCTAAACATTGGTGTTGAGGGAGAGAGTACAGCCTTCTGCCGGGAGGCCCTGTGGGCCACATGGTAAGAGGCAGGGTTTTTCCTGGAAGGGGAAGCAAATTACTGGGAACAATGGTACACACTATCACTGACTGGAGATGAAACTGCTCACTTCACAAGCATTCTTTGAACACAGTCTCCTGTCCCCATGCTCAGTAAACCATCCAGAGAGAGACTGAGCTGGATGCTTCTCAATGTGTGGCACCAGGCAACCTGGGGGAAGTGTGGTCCATTTAAGGAGACACTGGGGCTTTGGGTTTGGGGCTGAAGCCAGACCACCTGGGTTAGAAGCCTGGTTCTGCCACCAGCTGGCTATATGGCCTGGGGCAAGTGATTTAACCTCCCTGGACCTCCGTTTCCTCATTTGTAATATGATGACCATACTATGTATTTAATGGGATTGTTGTAAGATTTAAATTAGCCAGCACATGCTACATGTTTAGAATGGTGCCTAGCTGGTAGTGAGTCATCAATAAATATGAACTATCATTAGCTTATTAGGAAAAATATGTGTTCATAGATTAACAAAGGCAGCCTGTAATCAGAGTGACATGGATAAGGTAGAGAAGATGGTCTAAGAGTTGAGAAGGAGGAGAGAGCCTTCCTACCGGGGGTAATTAGGGAAGGCTTCTTGGAAGAGGCGGCACATGATCTAATAAGCCTCGGTAGGTAGCCAGACTTCCTGCCAGTGGTAGAAGGGCATTCCCAGAGGAGAGCAGAGTGAGAGGAGACTAGGAGGGGCCAAAGAACTGAAGCGTGTCTTGACCTCAACTTAGATGGTGTGTGCAGAAGTATGGGAGGCAGTAAATGGTCCAGCGTATATTTTATTGCTCATTTTAAATAGAAAGATGAGGTGAGCCAGCAGGTAATTCAATAGCTGCAAATGAAAAGAGATGGGATGTAGGCCGAGCATTCTCATCATTCTTCCAAATAATGCAGAGGAATGGGATTTCACTTGACTCTTTTCCGGAGCCTGTGCCCCATGTTAAGCGGGGAGATTAATGCCTGGCTAGTGAGAGCCATCTTCTTCCGGAATGTGGGGAAGGAGCCCTGCCTGCATCTGCTGCGGAGACACACACTGGCAGGGTGACTTACCATCTGCTTTCTCCCAAGCCAGCAGGGCTACACTTAAGAACCTGGAGCCTTCAAACTTCAGAGGGAAGGCAGGGGAGGGGCTGGAGTGGGGGGCAGGGGGAAGAGATCAACCAAAAGCATAACCAATAGACACATTCACTAGGGCAGTAGTTCTCAACCTTCCTAATGCCGCAACCCTTTAATACAGTTCATCATGTTGTGGTGACCCCCAACCATAAAATTATTTTCGTTGCTACTTCATCACTGTAATTTTGCTACTGTAAACAGTATGTACTTATATATGTGTTTTCCGATGGTCTTAGGCAACCCCTGTGAAAGGGTCGTTCGACCCCCAAAGGGGTCGCGACCCACAGGTTGAGAACCGCTGCACTAGGGGGTGAGGGCATGTACTGGGGGTGGGGCTGGCTGGGGAGAGGTCAATGGGGAAAAAAGGAGACCTATGTAATACTTTAAACAATAAAGAATTAAAAACAAAAACAAAGGAACAAAAAAAGCTGGAGCCAGGTCACTGCCTATCTCCCAGTGCAGCCCTGAGGGGCAGACTCTCTGGGAGGCAGGAATCTGCCTGCGTTTGCATTTAATTCATCCATCCGGTCAGCCATTGCTAACCAATTCAATTAGATCCCTTTTAAGAAATCAATTAAATAATCAATTAAAACAACTGAAATAGTCACACACACACACAAAGAAGCTAGCGAAATGCTTATTAAAACCAGGCCATGGAGGACAGAAGTGACCTATTTTGGGAAAGGGAATTCAGCTCCTGCAGAAAATACAAACGGCATCTACCAGTGCCCTGAGGGGGAACTGAAGCCGCTGTGTAAAACTGTAATGCGATGCAAAGCATAGAGTCAGGTGGCCTTGCTCTGGCCCACTCGGCAGGTATAAAAGACAGGCTGGCACTTTCTGAATTCTTGCTCCAGGCCTCTCCTGCAGGCATCAGCATGGTAGCATCCCACTTGGCGAGGGCCTGGGCTGCATGGCACAGCGCTCACTTCGAGCTGCACGATCCAACTGGGGCAGGCCACTTGGGAGCCTCAGTTTGCACCCGAGCTCCAGCCTGCCAGAGCCCATCCGTTAGCTACACTGCTGCTGCTCATTTCCAGCCATCCGGGGGTCTGTGCCCGTTGAGGTGTGGGCTACTCAGGAGAGAGACTTTATTTCTACTTCTCTGTTTCAGGGCCGAGCCGGTTCTCTCCCGAATCCAGGAGAACCGGAAGCGGGTGATCCTCCCGTCCATCGACAACATCAAGCAGGACACCTTTGAGGTGCAGCGGTACGAGAACTCGGCCCACGGGTACAGCTGGGAGCTGTGGTGCATGTACATCAGCCCCCCGAAAGACTGGTGGGACGCCGGAGACCCTTCTCTCCCCATCAGGTCTGTGGCAGGCACGCTCTGGTGGGCTTGAGTCCCAAATCCCAGAGGACAGAGGAGCCAGGGGAGGAGGCTAGGGGACATCCTGGGGATGGGGCAGTGGTGTGTAAACGCTGCTTTAGGAATTTTGGGTGTCCTACCATCGCAGCATTTTGATCCTTTAGCTACAGTTTTCAAGGGCAGCTTCTTAAACAGAAATCCTGAAAGACTGAATTGATGGTGTTACACAGGGTGTGAAAGCCCCCTTCCTAAGATCCCCAAAGGGGACTCTTGCTGTTCAGCACAAGCTTTATTCAATGGTTCTATCCATAATTAAAAGTGGGCATATGAAAAAAAAATAATTCAATAGCCAGAGAATGGGGAAGTAGAAGCATATTCTGGTTTTGGCTTGGGGCAGAGAAGTTGTGTATCCACGAGGATAGAAATGAAGGGGTGGTCTAGGCAAATAAGGGAGAGGAATATTCATGATCTTTCTGGGAATGGGGTGGTGGTTTTCCCCAGAATCGGGCTTCCACCTCTTTTCTGTTGTTCTTTGTGGTCCCTTCTGGTTTTCATCATGGTGAATATCAGTCGTCATGGTGCTCCAGGTGTCTGCAGAGTGGGGTCCTTCTGGAGGTCGAGGGGAGAATCCACCTTTTTGCCTTTTCCAGCTGGCAGAGGTTGTCCTCACTCCTTGGCTCATGACTGCATCACATCCCTTTCCCCCTCTTCCTTCATCACACAGTCTCCCTATCTCAAGATCCTTAATTACATATGCCCAGTACTTTTCCCCATATAAAGTAACATGTACAGGTGGATATTTTTTTTTGCCGGGCGGCTGGGGGATGGGGGCGCGGGTCATTATTCAGCCAGTCACAAATGCCCTGACTTTTCAATTAAGAAGATACTCGAGTTATAGTTCAGTAGTGTTTGTGATTTCTAATTGAGGCCAAACTGACTTAAACCTTCATGGTTCTGTCTTACGTTAGTGGAGAGTGGAGAAGCGTTCTCACTTGGTCCTAGTTTTAGGACACTGTTGGTATAAAGAGGGATCGCAAGAAGGAATAGTGGAAGAGCAGTGAGAACACTTTACAGGTAGCCATGAAGTTCTTTCTCAGTTTACAAATTTTTAATAAACAAGAGTTAGATTGCAACATGTACAGAACCCCCCATCCCAGCACCCCCATCCTCTGCCCTATCTATAATAATAAAAGCATAATATGTTAATTAGACTAGACAGCCAAACAACCTTCTGAATGTCATTCCGGACGTCCTTCTGGATGAAGCCGCCACGGTGGGGGCCGAGGCAGAGGCAGTTAGGGGCGATCAGGCAGGCAGGCAAGTGGTTAGGGGTGATCAGGAAGGCAGGCAGAGGGGTTAGGGGTGATCAGGCAGGCAGGCAGGCGAGCGGTTAGGAGCCAGTGGTCCCATATTGCAAGAGGGGTGTCTAGCTGTTGGACATCCGCCGAGGGGTCCTGGATTGCAAGAGGGTGCAGGCCAGGCTGAGGGACCCCTTCCTCCCATGCATGAATTTCGAACATTTCTAGTGTTCTTATATTTTCCTGCTCAAATTGAAAGCTGAAGAACTGCATTAGAGTAGAGCCACCTATGGGCAAAGCTGTGTAGCAAGGAAGGCAGCCTTTTGGGCCAATAACTTTCTCAGCCAGAGATGCCTCCATGGCTCATTCCCATCCCAACCTAGATATTCAGTGTCTTCATTTGATGCTACAGGGCCACACTCTTGGCTCTCTACAAATAATAATGTAGATTCATCTCTAAGGCGTCATCTGAGAACCAAAGCATAACCTTTGGGACATTTAAAAGTTAATGGGTGAGCCAAAACCGGTTTGGCTCAGTGGATAGAGCGTCGGCCTGCGGACTGAAAGGTCCCAGGTTCGATTCCGGTCAAGGGCATGTACCTGGGTTGCGGGCACATCCCCAGTGGGAGATGTGCAGGAGGCAGCTGATCGATGTTTCTCTCTCATCGATGTTTCTAACTCTCTCTCCCTCTCCCTTCCTCTCTGTAAAAAATCAATAAAATATATTTAAAAAAAAAGTTAATGGGTGAGATACTACCTCACACCCATTTGGATGGTTACTATTAACAGCAACAACAGAAAAGAACAAGTGTTGGCAAGGATGTGGAGAAATTGGAAACTTGTGCACTATAGATGGGAATATAAATAGTGTAATCACTGTGGAAAACAGTTTCTAAAAAAATTAAAAATAGAGTGGCCATATGATCCAGCAATTCCACTTCTGGATATAAACCCAAGAGAGTTGGAAGCAGGCTCTCAAACAGATACTTATACAGTACACCCATCTTCATAGCAGCATTATTCACAATAGTCAAAATGTGGAACATAATGTGGTACATATATGCAATGGAATACTATTCAGTCTTTAAAAAGGAAGGAAATTCTGACACATATGACAGCATGGATGAATCTTGGAAACATTATGCTAAATAAAATCAATCAATCAATCACCAAAAGACAAAACTATGATTTCGCCCATATGAGGTATCTAAAATAGCTAAATTCATAGAGACAGATAGTACAGTGGTGGTTGCCAGGGGCTGGGGTGAGGGAGGAATGGGGAGTTGTTACTTAATGGGTATAGGGTTTCAGCTTTGCAAGATGAAAACAGTTGTGGAAATTGGTTGCACAATAACATAAATACAGTTAACACTGCTGAACTGTACATGTGAAAATGGTTAAGAGAGTAAATTTTATGTCATGTGTATTTTACCATGATTACAACAAATGAATGTGGAGTGCTTCAAGACCCCTTGGCTCTCAGATTTTGAAGGAATGAAGTTCAAATGATTGGCTGACATGCAGTGAGTTTCAGATTTTTGGCCAAATGTTGCTTCCTCCATGACATACAGGAAGGCTGACCTCTGGCCTTGATAAATAAGGGAATGAATGAGGTTGTGACGGTGGTGTTAGTGACAGAGAGAAAGAAGTAACTATAGTGCAGTGCCGTGGGTGCCCGGAAAACACGCTGTCTCTGTGTATATAACGCACTAAAGCAAAAATGTGGCTTGTATTTTATGAGCTAGGGCAACATTAACAGATGATGAATAGGCATTTTTAAAAGACTAGAAAATAGAGTTGTGATCATGAATCATTAATTCACATGCATTTCTGATGTACAAAATAGAATCACATACCAATGATCTCTTTTTAATGTACCATCACTTATAAAATGCTTAATCTGTTGATAGTTGATGGAGATATTTAATTGTAGGAAGGAGTTTTTATGGCCCTTCTGATGTTATTAAGCAGATACAATATGATTCCTAAACATTAGGACATGGTGGTCTCCCCCCCTCCCTGCTCCCCCATGGTCCCGTTATTTGAATAGTAATGACTTTATTCTGGCAAAGGATGGGAGGAGAAGAGCTTTTTCGCAATCCAAATGGCATCAACATGGATGGTCTTTGTATAAGAGCCTTCTCAGTAGGCAACATAAAGTAGGAGATTTCGCATTAAGGGAATATGTTTCCTTTCTGTTTTACTTCTTCCCCTCTTTCTTCCTATATAACTTCTGCTTGGCACACAGCTCTTTCCCGAAGGTTTTCTATTTTTCCTTTGCTCGCCTTTGTGTACACCAGAGTTTCAGGTGCAGAGGGTGGGCAGTTGCCATTAAAGAGGACAGAGCTAAGTGTAAGGCATGCGGATGGGAACTGAAGAACTCAGGCCCCCCAGGGAGGTGCCAGTCCATGCAATGGTGCTGGGGACACAGGGCCGGCGGTATCAGGTCCTAAGACGTGTAAGAAAAGACACACATCCCTATCATTTAATAAAATCTCCGAATTCTCAGTGTTGGCAATAAATCCCTCTTCTTCCAGACAACATGTTTCCAGACTGGATTTGACCACGAGGGTCCCTGGAATTGATCATTAGTCTACACGGGCTGCTTTGGGGACCTCTGACATTCCCAGGACAGCCTGACTCCATACTTCTCACACTGGGAGCTGTGGGTACTTGCGATTTGTGGCATTATTGTGGGGCTGAGGGATTGGGGGAAAGTGTGGCTCAAAGCTACAGGAGAACCATGGCTGGACTTCCTGGAGCTTGAGTGAAGGCATGAGAGATCCCCCTCCTGCCTCCATTGGGTGCCCAGTCCTCTGCCTGTGGCTGAGATTGCTAAAGACTTTGAGAAGAGTTGACCCAGCTCTTGCCTCTGTGCAGAGAAGGCTCCCAAATCTATGTCTTAATTAAGCCCTAATTTTTCACCAAAATGGCATCATCTCCAATGTTACATCGAAATCCTATCAGTAGATCAGTTGAGCTTAAACTTTTTTGAGTCAAGGACCTCTCTGATAATCTAATGAAAGCCAGAGACCCTATCACCCTGAACGTGGATAAACCGACACAACTTTGCATATATCTGAAGTTTATGGGTGCCTTGAAGCCACCCTCCTAATGATCCACTGGGCTTATCTTCAGAATGACTGCTAGATATTTCAACTTTCCCAGTTGGAGAGCCTTTCTTTACCATTTTTTTTAATCACCCCCTTGTCTATATGCTTTATGCAGCCAGGACTGTGGTTATTTAATTTGCATCCCCAGGACTTAATGAGTACCTGGATGCCTGACAGCTGAGGCTCAGAATAGAGGTCAGGGTTAGTGAACCACGAGGAAGAGGGTAAGATTGTTTAGAGGTACATTAGAGAAGGAGAAAGAAAACCCAAATATTTCTGGGTGAAGGGAGCCTTCATAAGGGGGACTGACAAGTACTGAGTGCTCAGAGAGGTATGGGGACAACCAGAGCAGCAGTGGCATAAAGATTTAATAACAGGCCCTGGCCGATGTGGCTCAGTTGGTTGAGCATTATCCCATGCACCAAAAGGTTGCTGGTTCAATTCCCCATCTGGGCACATGCCCAGGTTGTGGGTTTGATACCTGGTCGGCGTGCGTGTAGGACGCAACTGACTGATGTTTCTCTTTCTTTCTCTCTCTCTTCCTCTCTCTCTCAAATCAGTAAAACTTTTTTAAAAAGCATCCAATAACAGG